CACCAGGACTGTCAGCAGATAAAGGTCAATATTTCTGTTTTGGCTTTTGTTGCGACCAATCCCCTCCGGAATCCATTGATAAGATTAATTTGGAATCGATACAAAAGATGAAGAAAGTTCAAATGGTGAGTTTCTATTCTGATCTGTTATGCGAACTTGAATTAACCTCCCAAATCCTCTCAAAAATAATCTAATCAATAACAAAATCTAGCTATGCGATTGGGAGTACATGCTCGAAATTGGGAGAACACATTTACAAGAAACAATACCACCGCAGCCTTCAAGTATTTATATCATATGCCATACGAGTGGAACCACTGGTCAGTTTTCTCAACCAGACTGCAACTTCTTTCATTCATCTGAGATGATTTCAAAGAAAATTTGCCGCCATATAAACTGTACTGAATGCAAGCTGTTTCTAAATCACATTGACGAGCAGAAATTTTCTTTTGTGAATCGAACAGAATCATTTCGTTCTAGCATCATGAGTCTTGCTTAAGCAATCGCTGAATTCCTTCGCTGTCGATGGGAAGAACATGCAAGGCTGCTTGCAGGTACACCAAAAGGAGTTCAGCTCTCGCACTGCGCACTGTTGGCTTCAATGGCTGGTCTGTACGTGCAGTGGTGTGTACCGCCGAATGCGATGACTTTTAACAACGATGACATTCATTTATCATTCCTATCGCTAGCACATGTTTACGAACAACTTCTTGAGGTGATTACATTGAAATGACAAATTAAATAGACTCTTCTGGGCCAGGAACCATTGTGCTTACTACATCTCAAAAATCCAGCTGCAATTCTTGATGAAACATTTATAAAGGCATTAGATTAGCGAGAAGTAGAACATGGAACGCAGAACTGATGACTGAATACAGTTGATAATGTATAGGTGATAAACGATACTGTTGCTTACTAACTTCATCAAAGACATCAAAGATGCAAATCTCTTGATTGACTCCAACCGATGCATTAATACCAACGCATGATTTGGAAACGCAATTTCTGATTGATTCGAAAAGGAAAAACAATGGATATAGCACTTCAGCTCTTTATGATCTACGTTGGTGGACGTGTTGCGGTGTTTGGCGGTGATGTGAGCAAGTTGATCAACGATATGCTCTTCTTCCGTCCGACGGTGGTGGCTCTAGTGCCAAGGATCCTGAGCCGATTTCACGACAGGATATTGCAGCAAATGGATGAGCAGAATTTGCTGAAGCGCCTTCTGTTCCGAATAGCTTTCAAGGTGATTTGATGTCGTTGCTTCAAAATTTTTCGAATGATTGAATTCCTTAATGAATTGCAAATCATAATTCATTCATATAAATGCACAATCGATAAATTGTTTCAGGTGAAATCGAGAATGTTTTCAAGAGGAACGCTGCGTTTCGATACTGTCTGGGATAAGTTCGTCTTCAAGAAGATTCATGCTCAGCTTGGAGGAAAGTTACGACTGTTGACAACAGGTGGTGCACCAACTTCGAAGGAGCTAATCCGCTTCTCGCGAATCGTTTATGGATGTCCAATATTTGAAGGGTTTGTTTTGAATTTCGAAATTTAAATTTTGATTTTTTACGAGATCAAGGTTTGATCTGCTTGATCATTCGGTAAATCGAGTGAAGTGCTCACGGTCAGGTGGGATAAAAAAGTTTCTTAAGAATTTGACATAGCTGTAACCTCAGTGTTTAACTCAAGGTATGGACAAACTGAGTGCTGTGCGGCTGGTACTATAACGTTACCGTTTGACATCGAAGGCGGTCATGTCGGAGGGCCAGCGCCATGGGCACAGGTTCATATTAGGCTCATTTTCATGACATCAATCATTTTTTTATTTCATTACATACTTTTTGTGATTTTATCCGCCTTTAGTACAATTTCATGTGACTTTAAGTGTGTTTCGTTGAAATATGTGCTCAGTTCAGCCACACGAAGATCATTCAGGTGAAACTGGTTGATGTGGAAGAACTGTCGTATAGTGCATCGAAGAACGCTGGAGAAGTATGCTTCAGAGGAGCGGCCTTAATGAGTGGATACTTCAAGGATGACGAGTTGACGGCGAAAGTGATCGATGATGAGGTGCGTGAATTGACTGCTGAAATCTATTTGAAATCAATTCTAGAGTCAATTTGGAGGTTCTCATATGAGCGTTTGCTTAAAGGGTTGGCTACACACTGGCGATATCGGTGAATGGCTTTCAGATGGCTCGCTGCGGATAATTGATCGTAAGAGTAATTTCTTGAAGTTGTCGCAGGGTGACTTCGTTTCACCCGAAGAAGTGGAGAAAATTTATTCACAACATCCAGCTATTAAACAGGTACTTGAGATAGTTTACGAAATTTGACATATTTCTTGAGATAAATTCTGCAGCAATCTCGAAAGAATTCGATTTCATTGATTTTAAGAGAACTGTATAGTCAAACATCATGACAAGTTGATGAATACTATGCTCTACTTGTAAGCTAAATGCTTTTTTGAAAAGTGCATACTTGATAACTTCAAACGGTTCATAGAGCACGATGTGTGTTCATTGCATGAGTTTGAGAGGAGTGCTGCATTTTTTCGGACAAGAATACGAAGACTCATCCATATCTGCTCTTTGATCCATGTCTGGAAAATAGATTTGGAATCGAAGATCACTAAGGATTTCTGCTGCTTTTCAGATTTTCGTTTATGGTTCCTCAATTCATTCTTATCTGGTGGCGATTATCGTGGTTGATGTCGCACTTCTACGCAAATAT